AGAATTTGTAGCAGCCGCCGCTGAAGACATTACTCATTCAAATAACGAGCCGCTGGAAATCTTCAAAAATTGAAAACTGTTGCCCGCCGTCGCCGTTCAACCCTTCGGCTGACACCTCTACACGTGACTACGAATAAGTTCCTTTTCAAGAGAAAACTATTTATAGATCTTTAAGCAATCCAAGAGCTTTGACGTCATTTCCAAGTAACATATTTCACAAATGAGTGGAGAAAATAATAGAGCGCTCAAGCAAGTATCACCATATAGTGTAGTAGTATATTTTACTCAGGAACGCTTACCTTTTCATAACAGACAAATTTTGGTCAGTGCTCCTACTGGTTCTTTTCTCGTATAATTTAAGTCATAGTATATATGATTCTCTTTTTCGTGTAACATACCAATAGCTAATTCCATATACATCAGAGGAAATCCACAGAATATTAATGTGGTGGAATATGGAACTAAAAATGCACATAAAAGCAATAAATCAAACAACGGAAAAAAAGAATAAGCAAGAAATTCTATTTCATCTCTTCCACTCGACTAGCACAATAAGAAAATCGACAGGCAAAGCAATATAAGTCAAAAAAATTCGATCTTTCTCGACCATTGTGGACGATTCACTGAAACATCTTCATTATCACTCAACATTATTAGCATACAATCAATTTATTCTTCTAAAGACTGGCGACACCAATCACCTTCTTTGAGTTCCAGTGAAAAGCTATTGCAATTATTAAGTAGACACTTTCTACTTTTCTCTTTTAAAATATCCCAAATATTTCTTGTTGTATCGAACTACAGAATAGAGTAGAGATGGAGCTGGTATTGATATTGGTTGTCAAAAATTCAAATCGATTAAAGATGAAGTTTGATGCGAACTATTTTATGCCGGACTTCAAAATAGATTTGATCAAAGTTATTAGGGTGTGGGTGCGCATCATTTGATTCACACCCTTAGGAGTGGTCCCTCCGACCTGTAGATTTTAGTTCATATGATTTTTCACTATGGAGAATTATAAAAGACCGCATTTACGCTAATTGATTGCTCATTTTTTCAAGAATACAAAAAAAAAGATTGATTGTGACATATTGATGCCCTTTTGTTTTCAGCCCGATGAAGATCTATGGTATGTATTGCACAAGGCAGAAAATAAATATGAGTGAACATTTTTTTTTGTTTTTCTTGATTAACTGATCTTTATTTATTGTATATTATTTTTCTCTTATCTCTAAAAAAAGGAATTTTCTTCGTGAGGTTAATAGTAATACTTAACGGATTATTTTTTACTTGATGATATGCTGACGTACGAATATTCGAAAACCTGAGTACATAATGTGTTGTCATCCTTTCTTTTTTTCTTGAAGCAAATAGAAAGATAGAAGAATGAAAAAAATTTGCTTACTGATATTGAAAACCTTGAAAGATAAAGAGAAAAAGAAAAGAAAAAGGGGGACCAAGCAATAAGGTACATCATGCTGACTACTCAAAAATATTGGATCAAAAGAAAGGAAATGATAGTGTCATGCTCATGCTGAAAAATGCTTTAAGAGATTAATTTATTGACTTTCATCAAGCAATATCAAAAAGCATATAAAAATAGTGACAATCAGATAATGCTGTTTAATCACAGAAAAAAAACATTTACTTGCATGGAAGCTAAATGCATAGCACCACTTCTTTGCTGGTATGGGTGAGTTTTTGAATTCTCCAGTAGCGATTTATCTTTCCATGTACAATACAGCCCTTGAGTTTTTTTTATTGAATATAGTTTCCGAACGTTTTAAAGACTTTACAAAAATATGATTATAGATTAATTCAAATCAAAAGTCATTTAGTTACATGAAAGATTGCTGCTCGCTAAGATCTAAATTCCATATCAATCGATTCATTATAACTTAACATTTCTTCCAACTTTTATTCTATTATATGTAAATCTAGGTCCTCATTCCGTATTTTGTGAATTTATATTCTTTCTATGTTTCTCAAACGAACCGCTTTGACTGGCAAGATTCCAACTATGTCAATGTTTCACCAATGAGACTTTGCAGAGTATATGATTTTCTGCAAATCTTCTGTGCTTTTCAAAATTTCGTGCCATTCTATATGCATCAATAAAGACAATAAACAGAAGACGATAACAATTTGGTACATTGTTGACATAAATAGATTATATAGAGTAGTTTTTGATTCCCTCCTCAAAGATCTATTATGCGTTGTAATTTGCTGAATATTAATGAAAAACTCTGTCTGTCTACAATCTTTTAGTCGTAGAGACCTGGAATAATTAAAACATAATTATATCTACTGTCTTCTTTCTATATATCAATGTGACCAACAGGAGCACAATGCGCAGGGAATAATATATGTTCTTTCGAATGGTTTTAATGGAGAAAATCTCACAATTAGTTTTGCACTTAGAAATCAATAAAAAACAAGTGGTCCGATAATTCTCAGTACCACTCTATATATCAAGCTACATTTGTTTTCTTCGATATAACTTAGAACTGTTTATTCATTGATTTCCACTGAAACCAATACAACTATTACAAGAGAGTTGCTAATGTATGTTTATGAAATCTTATTTGTATATGGTTGACCTCCCATGTAATAAAAACCGCATGAAAATCGGCGGTTAACCGCGGTTTTACCGATCTGGTTACCGGCTCCCATTACCGCAGAACGGATAAGTATCGCGGTTTACCGCAAAAAATGATCCGATATTTACCGCGGTAAACCGCTGGTTTTGATTAATACCGCGGTTACCGCTAAAAAAAAGCGGTTAACCGGTTCGTCTATAATCTTTGACAGAAAAAGTCTTCCAAATCATCAATTAAACTATTTTAATCATCCTTTTTTTTACTTTTACATGTGATAAACATGAGCAAAAACCGCCGGTTTACCGCGGTTTTATCGGTCCAGTTATCGGCTCCCATTACCGCAGAGCGGATAGATACCGTGGTTTATCGCAAAAAATGATCCGGTATTCGCAACATGGGCTGAATTCTGTTTATCACGGTGCATGACTCATGATTGCCCGAAGAACGACTAATAAACAACCTAGTGAAATTTCTAATACTTTAATTATACTTTCATTGATTTTATCACTAATATCTGCCGGAGGCAAGAGTTCTACATGTTAATTCTATCGTTTAACTTTCAATACAAATTTTAGATAGTATATCAGAAAAGAAAACAGTCTTTTCTTGAAACATTATTTATTTTATCCATCGAGTATATTCATGCAAATGTATACTCAAAATGACATTGATTCTTGGGATAATCAAATAAGCACGATCGAAGAAAGATGTGACTTGACCAGTTTATTAAAGCAAGAGCAAAAGAATAAAGTAGTGCTGAATCAATACAATCATGTGAAGCAGCAAAAGTCAAGTACACTTTTGATTAAAGACAATCTCTACAAAAACTTGAAAACAATGTGTCGCCAACACTGTCTGAATCTGAATTCCACATTGCAATTTTCTTGGCATAAAGTATTGAATATTTATGGAAGCAGCCAACAAACAGTGATTGGAACCGTAGTACCAAACATTGGTACCTTTCCATCAATTATCAATCATGATATGGACAGTTTGATTATCGACGCAATCAAACATATCCAAGATAGGATGAATGAAATGATAAGGCGAAGTACTGTCGATTTCTCTCTACCCATGAAGGAAAGGATGACACACAATTTATTCGATTGCCTTTTCGCGTATAAGAATAACTCGATTTTGCAAAGTGAAATCGAAGAAAAAGAAAAATCAATTGATTATGAAACAAAATATATCGTCGAAAAATTTGATTATCCTCTTGTAGTAATTGCTTATGAAACCGTCGAAAAAGAATGTGTAACAATTGTCCTAAAATACGCTGGAGAATTATTCGAAAGTCAAACAATTGACAACATATTAGATGTAGCTAATGACATATTAAGTCAAATTGTAGATAATCCAGTATCGCAAATTTCTGACATACATCTTTTACCCAAGATACAATTGCAGATGATTGAAGAGTGGAATGATACGGCTACAGATTTTGCAGAGCTGAATACGGAAACGACGCTCCATCAGCTATTCGAAGAAGAAGTAGAAAAATCATTAGACAAAATAGCAGTCGTTTATGAAAATGTGCAACTTACTTATCGAGAATTAAATGCAAGTGCAAATCAATTGGCACGCTATTTAAGGTCAATTTGCTGCATTCATCCAGATGACTTGATAGCACTGTGCTTGGACAAAAGTGAATTGATGATAATCAGCATACTGAGCGTGTGGAAATCTGGCGCAGCATATATTCCCATTGATCCTAGTTATCCCGACGAACGAATTCAATTCATATTAGAAGATACGAAGGCTAAAATCATAATAACGAACAAGAAATATCTGACAAGATTAGAGTCATACGACATGATCAAAATTGATGCCGACTCAATAAGGACAATAATTAACGGTCATAACAAAACCAACATGTCGCCTATGTGTTCCAGTACTAATTTAGCATATATAATTTACACGTCTGGTACAACTGGTAAACCGAAATCTGTATTGGTAGAGCATAAAAGTGTCATTTCCTTCAGAAACGACGTAATCCGTAGATACTTTAACACAGATTACAACGAAAATTCGTCTCAAGCAATTTTATTCTTTTCAAGTTATGTGTTTGATATGTCAATAGAGCAAATATCACTTTCCATACTCAACTCGAATAAATTAATAATTTTATCTAATGGTTTTACAATTGATGAACACTTTTATGATTACTTGAATGAAAATCGAGTGACATATTTTAGTTTAACACCATCTCAGCTGCAGCAACTGGATCTTAGAAACCTAAAATATTTAAAATCCTTACTAGTGATCGGTGAACCTTTAACTGAAATTACGTTCGAAAAAATTCGGACACAATACACTGGCCAACTCATCAATGCTTATGGAATTACAGAAACAACTGTCTACAATACAGTTTACATCTATGAGAATGAAATGAAATATAACACCTCAATCGGCTTTCCATTATCAAATACAAAAGGATTTGTGCTTAACAAGAACTTGAAAATGTTGCCAGTACATGCTATTGGTGAACTCTACCTGACCGGAGATTGCGTAACTAGAGGTTACCTCAATCGGCCTGAATTGACTGCTGAACGGTTTCTACCTAGTCCATTCCA